TGCTGAATGCTGCTCTATCCTGTGCCAACCTTATTGTCTCTGACACATCTACCCCTATTACCCCATTCACTGAGTCCATATCATCCATATCATCTAGGGTCTTCCTCTCTTGCACTGTCCCTCCACCCTCCCAAACATGATGTCCCTCTCTAAGGACTGGTCTCTCTTTGCAACATGTCCAAACTATGTCAGATGGAGCTTCAGAATCCTTGCCTCTAAGGAGCAGCCTGGTCTTACTCTCTCTAGGAAGAACCTGTTTGTTCTCCTAGTAGTCCATGATATATTTAATACTCTTCTCCAGCACCACCGCTTTAAAGGCATCAATGCTTCTATCATCCCTAGTCATTGTTCAGTTTTATGATGCATAGCAAGAAATTATGAAGACGATGGCCTTAGTCTCCAGACTGACTTCATTGTTTTCAGCACTCTGAAGAGGTCCCTAAGAGCATGTTTTCCCAATGCAATTCATCTTTTGATTTCCTGGCTGCTGGTACCAAAAGTGTCGATTATGGAGCCAAGCAAACTAAAGTTGTTAACAATCTCAATCTCTTCACCAACTATCATGATGCTGCCAATTGACCCAGTGGTAAGAATCTTTGTTTTCTTGATATCAAACTTCCCTCCCTAAAAAATGAATTATTTTATCTCCTTCAGACCATTTGCTATGTATTCTAATATATTTACTAAAATTATTTCTGCTATAGAAAAGTTTCAAAACGGAGGTTGGGAAAAATCTATTCGGATCACAAAAATGTTGACATTTGAGCTGACAAATGCTTCCCCAATTTTCTTAAAATTTCAACCCATGAGTTGAAATGATTGCCATGTATGACGTTGGTAACTTCAACACTGAACCTGAAACCCTTAGGTTTCTAAAGGGTCACAATTTGCTTTGGTTCCATTTTCTTTTCAGGAATCAATTTAAAAATACTCAAAATTCAATTGAAAGACGATTTTAGGCTTACATGTAAAGATGCTCCAATTTCCCGCATTTTATTGCTGTTTTTGGTGCTTTGAGATGACAGTTTTTCTTTCACAGAGCAAGCTTAAAATTAGAAAAATGAAGCACTCATCAGAGTAAGCAAATTTACCCTTCTATTAATTGACACTGAGCTGAAAGTTCTCACCATAGAGCACAAAGATTGCTCAGCAGACATTTCCAGGGCTCAGAGCCTGGAAGGTGGACAATTTATTTGGCTTAAGTTGAGCTCCTGTGTGGATGAGCGGGTTTGCAAAGGAGAAGTGTCACTCTCCACTTTTGTGGGGGGTTTTCTGGTTTTGGTGTTTTTGTTGTTTTTTTTTTTTAATAGCAAACAACCTTGAAAATTGAACTTTCTCTTCTGTTCTTTTTTCTCCTTGCCTTGCCAGACTGGAGGTAAATTCGTGCAACCGATTTAGTCACCAGAAGAGGATTCTTATCTGGAATGCAGGTTGTTGAGGACTGCATGGGGATCTCCTTCAAAAAGGAGAAAACTTCAAAAGCTGCAAACACGCAGGGGTGGGGAGGGCAGGTGAGAGAGAATCTGTGGAAGTATGAAGTCTTCGTGGTTTTAACTTTAAATAAGCACGTCCACCCTCTTATACCCTCACCCCAGTGTCTCCTGCAACTTTGATTTTGGAACACGTCACATTCTTCATTAAAGCAATCACTGTTAAAACATAAAGCAACACAGGATTTATTTCTTCATTAAACTGATGATCCGTATATGAAGCCAATTAACATTATGATTCTGGTGAACGTCAAGCGTAAAGAGGCGAGGGAAAATGAAAAGCAGTCACCTTGGTCTTCAGATAAAGAAAGTACACTTTAGGCTGTAAATTATCAGAGTGTCTGAGCAGGACAGATCACAGAATTTGGTTAATTAGAAAAGACACTTTGTCTCACAAGAATTGAGGAAAACCTTCGTTTCCCTTACACAGGAGGAGATGGTTACGTACACTTTATTAGTTACGTTCTGGGAGGCCTGAATATTGGAACAATTGGGGGAGAAAAGAGGGCCTTAAAGTTTCGTTGCTTGCGTGTTTGCTCGTTTATTTGCTGTTTTTCTGACAAGGTGTTCAGCCTCAGCGCTCCTTGCAGGGAGAGGCGGGCAAGAGAAGGCCAGGGTTTCCAGCTGGCCTCGAGGCGGGGGCCAGGTGGCAGGTCTTTCCGGGGTTCGGTCTGATATCCCTTTGCTTCACGGGACGCCAGGTGGCCCCGGAGCTAGGCGGCAAGGGCCTGCAGGAGTTGCAACAGCCGGGTAGGAGCCACACACAGTGGGCTGCGGAGAGATGCGCGCCTGCCGCGGGCGCTGAGAGCGGAGCGCACGTCCGAGCAACTTGAATAGGTTTGGATAGGCAGGTGGAAGGTAGGAGTCGCTGCCCTGCGTTCCTTCGAGATCCAGCTGGCGGGTCCCACCTGGGTGCAGCCCGGTGTCTCAGTGGAACTCTGGAGATGACCGGTGCATTGCAGCCAGCGCCGCTGTCCAGGGTTCTGACCAGGCGGCGTGCTCGCCACTCTCGGATCCTAAACGAACTGTCCAACCTCGAGGGCGCCTTTGGGCCTTGCTAGGAACTTGTTTCGGGGGACGCCCTGGTTGGGTAGCTGAGGGTGAGCTTGGGCCACGTTGGTGTCTGGGCCCACCGGTTCCCGATGTCAGACTGCGAGGCGGAGGGATCCCGCAGGGAGACCAAGGTGTGCCGAGAAGTCTAGACCTAGCTGGCCTGAAGGCCTTGCTCCCTCGGCTTTACCCTTAGCCCCTCGACCAGGCGCAGGAGGATTGCAGTCTGCAGTGGCTTTAGAACGCCCCTGGGGCTAAGGGGAACCTCAGATCCTGGCTAAGTACTCTGAGAAGAGTAGATGTTCTCTGAGGTAGGCTAGAGACAGGGGAGCTCCAAGAAGACATCGGCTCCCACACAGAATGCAGCCCCGCGCCCGCGCCCCAGCCCTCTTTGGATAAAGCAGAAAAGGCAATCTCCGACGCTCTTGATCCCCAGACCCTTTCCTGCCACCGCTGACCGCCCGCCTGTTCTCCCAAGTCCGGCCGCCAGGACTTGCGGAGCCGGCGGTCTCACGGAGCCGGCGGTCTCGCGGAGCCGGCGCTCTGAATGGAGCGGCTTCCAGGCATTTGGCGCAGGCTGGGCGATCCCTTCGCTTTGGGGAGCGGGCCCTCGGAGAAGAGCCATGGGGCGAGCTGTCCCGACGTGCCTTGGCTTCAGCGACCCCTCTGGGAGGGTGTCCACTGGCGCGTCAGGGTTCTGGCACTCCGCGTTCTGATTTTAGGTAGTTCATGCGGCCGCCAGGCCTTTTGTCTCCAACGTGCTGTATCTTTAAGATCGAGGTTGGCTCCTGGACCTTACAGGGACCCGACCCACCGCCTTGCCCAGGCTCGAGGCACAGCATTAGAATGTTTATAAAATATTCAATTTATGCAGTCTGTCCAAGAGCCTTTCGTCTCAAAATAAAACCAGCAGTCTAGACGGAACACAGACACCAGAACTTAGCAACAGTTGTCAGACTTGCATCTTCTGATGCTTCTTGAGTGGATCATAATACCAACTTTATTTTCAGTGGTGCATAAATTAATTACACGCATTTAATAACCAAAATATCATCATATTCCCCCTTTAATATCATAAAGGCTTTCCGCCAGGGAAGCACTTAATAGTGCAGGGGGCCGTAACGGGCTATTATCCCGGTGTAATGCTATTACAGAACCAATTATGCGCCATTAGGCTTGCTTTTTTTGCAGTTTATGTGATTTGATCCAATCCCGCGCCCCTGACTTGAAAATTTCAGCCTGGCACTTTAGAGTTTAATTTTCACCCAGGCGTAGGGTAAGGCGGCCTCTCTCTGCTGAGTGTCTGCCTCTGATGCATTTTAAAAGTAATTGCAAAGGGTCCCACCGCATATCATTTGCATAGAGAAGCAACATAAATTCAGGGACCCCTTGCTGAGAACAAAATCAAACTTTCCTTTTGTATGATCACTTGGAAAGATCGTGCGCAAAGAGTCCCCCAAAACCCATCCGGTGGTGACAATTAGCAGCACTTTGTCAATTCGCAACCCTTGGCAGTCTGGCCTCTGACGCCACCAGACCAAATCTCAGCTTTTTCTGGAGAAAAGGTTTGAGTCCGAGAGAGCATGGGAGGGGCCAGAGCACAGAGAAAAGAAAGGATTTCCCTACCCTGGGAGGGTGGTGGTTCTATCTTCTTTAAAAGAAAAGAAGAAAAACATTGCTGATGTTTCCTGAGAAATGACGGGTTTCCCCCCCTTTACACCACGTGGGCCATTTGTAAGGCCCAATAGACCTATCCAAGTTACTCGCTGTAGACAGCGCTGGAAATAATCAGATTAAGGCCAATTATGCGTGAGATTATAAAGGCGAGTGCTGAGCAGCGTCGCGCGCTGTAGACAGACAGCAAGACATCTGGCCATTTCCCGAGCCACTTCGTGGTCCTGCGGGCGCCAGGCGCGCTGAGCCCTCCCGCCTCCAGGCGCTCTGAGCATCAGCCTGAGGCCGTCACGCTCCAGCCTTCCGTGCCCGCCAACCGCCGCCGCGGAGGTACATGCGGTTCCTGGCCGAGCGGCCAGCGCACGGGCCCTGGATGCCGCCGTCCTGGTCAGAGCCTCTGCGCACCCGAGTGACCTTGCTTTCCTGCTGGACTCGGCTACGCTGCCAGGACTGAAGGGGCTGCGGGAGGCCCTGAGGGCTAGGGACTGACCGCGCTAGTTTGGGATCCGGCAGGGGTGGATAGAAGGTGGGGAGGTGGACTGGATCGGAGGGGATGGCCAGCGGGGTCTCGGCATCCAATGACGCTGCCAACTTCCATCGTGCCCCTGCCTTGGGCTAAGAGCATTGGGAGAAGTGCGCTCCGGTGCTCCTGGGCCAGCTGGGGCGCACAGAGGAGCCTTAGGCTCTGTTACTGTTTGCTTTCACCCAGGCCAGACCTGCTTGCTCCTGTCCGCACCGTGACCACCCTCTGGGGACCCAGCTGTCCTGCCGCTCCGGCCGTCAGCGATGTTTTATTTCCACTGTCCGCCACAGTTAGAGGGTGAGTAAGCGCTGAGCCTTGTTCCATCACACTGCCCGGAAAACAGTGGGCCTGTGAATCTCCAGTCAGTGAGCGGCGCCCTGGCCTTCTTCCTCCACCCGCCAAGCAGCTGACCCGTAGCCACCTGCCTGCCTTCTTCCTCCCTGCCTGGCCTGGCAGCCCCAGGCTATGCGCGTCTTGGGACCGCTGGTGCTCCCAGCACAGATGCTGGTGTCACGCCTTTAATCGGGGCCCTCCGCCCAGGAGCCCGCATTAATCTTTCCCAGGTTTTCGCCAACATCCTTGAAAAGCCCAAGACCAACTCGGAGTTGGCCTGCTGCGTCCTGGGCAGGACAGAGGGCTATTCTCGCTAAGGGCAGAGCGCGCGACTGCGGGGATTTTGCTCACATTCAGGGCCGTACAAAGCGGTTCCCGCTGCCCGCCTTGTGAACCCTGAGCCAGGTGCGCCCTTCCCACCGTCCATGAGGACACTCAGACCTCCCACTGGCTGTCCTCTGCACCTGGAAGGGCTTTTGACCCCAAATAAAAACCATTTCCCACCCTTTCCAACTTCCAGGCAGGCTGCTCCAAACCCAGAGCTCAAGTCTTTGAGGGCTGATGCTTTAAAGGAAATGTCTTCCTGAGAATTCTAGTGTGACCTCTGCTACTGATTATTATTAAGAGGGGTGGTGTTGTGGGAAGGGATGACTTGAACCCCTGAACCCCCAGCCCAGGGCTTCAAGAATCTGGGGGTGAGGGAAGGAGGTGTCCAGCTCGTTGGACTTCAGCAATTGACTGTGGCAGCTGCAGACTGACTTTTGTCTAGGATGGGGACACAGTGGTCAATGTGACCAGGACTGGACCAGGGTAGTCTTTCTCATCAGTAGGGTAAAACTAACCTGTCTCACGACAGTCTTTCTAGAGTGGGGAATTTTAGAGGAAACAAAATCAAGGAATGTAAGGGTAGTACAAGGTCATGAGGCTGCCTCTAATAGTAGCCAGCACCGATGGTGATTCCAGAAAATTTCTGAATTTGTGAAAATTTTCATAGGGCTATTTTCCCCATGAAGGGTCTTAAGAGTCCGGCTAAGAGATTGAAGAGCTGATGTTCACCAGCTTTGGAATCGTTTCTAAGAAGGGAGAGCCTGAAGTGTAACTACATTTCACCCACTTTTGACCTCCAGGAGCCCAAACAGGTGGATTTTATGAAGAAGGTCTAGAGGTCTGTCACAAACATTTTATCACCAAACCAGAGGGAGTGCTTGCAAACATGCAGGGGGAGATATATCTGTACTTCTGCACCTCTGGTCTGGATGGCTGCCCCAGCTGCCCTTTCTGGACAAAGGAGGGGAGGGCAGAGGCTCGGACATTTTTCAGGTGGCTAATTTCCTGGGTATCTGAGATATAAGGTCCTGCAAGCTTCAGTAGTCACTTAGGGAGAATCCCCAGGCAGCCTGTGGGCACATTCTGTTCTCACTTTGTGTACACATCCCACCCCGACATTGATTCTGATTGAGAGGATTAGAAAGAAAGGAGGAAGATAGAACCTTTTGTCCCTTTGCAGATGAGTTTGTATGTTGGTTTTGCATAACATGATCTTTACTTTAGTTACATGTTGCTGAGAGACAAGTGGGCTGCTACAGACAGGAAAGCTGAGAGCAGAATTTGGAGTATAGTCTCTCATGCTAGCTATTAAATGGTCTTTATTAATGTAGAGAAACATACAGGAGAAAGTGAAGCAGAATTCATAATCTTAACCTTCAGATAATATTGCTGATATTGAATCAAAAACTACTGCATATCAACAACATATCCTGCTGCTTAGGAAATTCCAACAGTGCAGAAACTTTGATATTAAAAAGGGAAATCCTCCTTTGCGACTTCTTTTTCTAAAGGTACTTGTATTCTTGGGTTCTTGTGATTCCTTTACAAATGGCACACTTTTACGTATATCACATATATTTTTTTCCTCTATATTTGTTATGGAAGGAGGATTGGCATCCACTTCCATAATAGCCTGCCTCTGGAAACCCTATGAACCTGGAGAGAAGATGAAAGGCACCCAAGCATCAGGACTCTCCTTCATAGGGTCGCTATGAGTCTTCTGCGACTGAAGCACTTAACAACAACAACAACAACTAACATATTTGTTATAGACTATTTGCATTGAAAACATTCTGCCTTATCATTCTGTCCTTTGCTGTTTTCACTTGATAATACATCCTTGAGAGGTTTTCCATATGAATCCATACATTGTTTCTTTTCTACAACCGTGTAGCACGCCAATATCTGCTGTACGGAAAGTGTTTATTGATGAACACTCAAGTTACTTCCATTCCCCCCCCCCCCATCACACTGTTGCCAGAACATTCTTGCCTGTTTTAACACAATTTTCTAGGTACATTTACCCATTAAATACTGATTTTAATGTGTGTGATCATACTGTCTCCCCCAAAAGATGGGGCCAGTTGATGCTCTTATAAGTGGTGAATGAAAGCAAACATTTTATTTTACTCTTACCTGCTCTGGTTATCATAATGCTTATCATTTATTCCCCGAGATGGTGAAAATAAAATTTTGTTGTTCAGTTTTATTTTGTTTCATTACTGTGACGTTTAGAATTTTTATAACATTATCTATAATTATCTTTATTTTTAAGTAAAGTCTTTTCCCAGATTTCTCCCCTCAATTTTATATTATGTTGGTCACCTTCTCCTGTGCTGCCTTATCAATCTGATGAGCTATCAGCCTTCTTTAAGATAAAACGTAGCATACAGTGTTTTAGTTAACTGTTGATGTGTTTGTGTTGTGAAATCATTTGGGCCAATAAGATGTAAATTATAGGACTGGGAAAATTTATGCTTAGAGAACAGTGGACGTTTCATACTATCAATGTGCCTTGTTTCAGAAGGAGAGAATTTGGTTCCCTAAGGAAATAATGGAAATAAAATTGCTTTGAGACTCTCTCTTCTAAGTTTTCAACTGAGCTAGAGAGAAATTGTTGGGGTTTTTTTTGTACCCAGGGTTTTGAAGAAGATGGTGGTTGGTTTAGGAAGATGGAAAAGGAATGCTTTGGCTGAGTGGAGGTATGTGGCCGGGAAGAGTAAAACATTCATCAGAAAGGACTTTGTTTTCTTGATAGAAGTTTGGAAAGCCCAGAGGACTTTGCTTCTCTGGGACTGAAGTCCTTCTGAGGGACATTGGGCAGTTTGGCTTGTAAGGTCTTAAGCTGAAAATGCAGTGATCCTGAACTGGAGCCCATGGCAGGTAAAGCATTCGCTGGTTAATGGGAACTCGCTCATTTGTTTTCCTAAGAACCCATTGTGGACTATCAAGTAAACAGTGCACATTTGGAAAAATGATCTGGATGCACTTTTGGGGCCAAACTCTGTTCTGGCTTTACAGCAAGCTTTGAAAGCTGCCGGGGAGGACAATGAATTTCTCAGCTACGGAAAGGAAAGCAGTCTGTCCTTTTGAAGGTCTGACCAGAGAGAAAGGTGTCCTCTGAGAGTGGCCTCATTTAAGTCAGTTTGGAATTCAGGACAGCTCCTATTGGTGCCTGTCTTTTTTTAAGTAATACCTATATAACAAAATCACTATGGTGAGCTATGAGGAATGGTAATTAAGATTCATTTATAAACTTCTTATGTCCCCAGGTCCTGCAGTTCATGGAGGATCCTGCTGCAAACACTCTTGGTGTTTCCTTTCCTTATCCACCCTCCCCTTTCCCAAACCTTTAGCCTTTGTTGTTTATTGAAAGAAAAGTAAGTAGACTCACAATTTAGCTAGAGACAAAACAGATAGTACTGAAAGACCAGATGTAGGGCACGAACTTGAGAAACATAGGGCTGAGTGCATCTGGGATCCAGAGGGCAGATAAAGTCTCTACCTTCAGACCCTTCCTGTCTTAAGTATTGAACTGAACAAGATGTGGACATCTTGGGGATTAAGGCCATCATGCTCCTTATGAAATGGGCACAACTGGATCTAAAAGAAAATATTTTGAGGAATGTGATTAAAAAGAGGAGCCTAATAAGAGGAGAGTCCATGGAGGTTCACATGATTAACACACTTGGTTGCTAAACAAGAGGTTGCAATTTCCAGTTCACTCAGAGACCCTCTGAAGAAAGTCTTATGGTATACTTCTGAGACACCAGCGGTTGAGAACCATGTGGTGCACAGGTCTGCCCTGACACATGTCCCCGTTGTGGGGTTGATAAGCAACAACTGTGTGCTTACAATAAGATGAACAGATGGGGCTGGGTGAGCTGGGTTCTCCTGCTATGGGTATCCATGTATGGGCTGCTGTGAGGCGGTGGTGGAGGCCTGGGGCTGGCTGCACTGACGGATCTGCTTTGTTTCCCATAGGCACTGCACCCTTTGGGAATCACTCAACAGGGGACTTTGATGATGGATTTTTGCGCAGAAAACAGCGCCGGAACCGAACCACATTCACTCTTCAGCAGGTAAGAATGAGAATCACAATTCTTTAAAACAAAGAATTCAAGCAACTCCTTCCCATCTTTTATAATAATGCCAGCTGATTATGTTTCTGTATCTATCTGATTTCTTGAGCAATGTATATGTCAAGGAATCTACTTGCAGGGAGGATAAATGACTGACCTTAGTTTTATAGTTTGGGGAACATTTTCATATTGGCGATGTGATTTAAACCTCATAATAATCCTGTGAGCAAGACAGTTCAGACAGGTGAGAACCTGGCTGACTTGTACAAGGTGTTTTTCTAAGGAATGACTCAGAGAACCTTGAGATCTCTGACCCCAAATCTTTCTTTATATAAACCATACTTTGTTCCTGGAGTAAGCTTGGGCAATTGGGGCAATGACCCAAATACCTGAACGTGATTCCTATGGGACTGACTGCAGAGGGGATATATGCAAGTTATTTACATTCTCCTCTATCCTGTGGGGAAACTTTGGCAAATTACTCTAATTCATAACACTGTCCTTATATTATAATTCCTGCAAATGTTTTTCAATGTAAATGTATGTCACTACATCCTCCTTTCTTATTTTTCCTTCTTCGGAGAGCACTGAAGTTGTTAGCAGCTCCTAATTCATCTGTGGTTGAAATTTAAATTCTGTGGGATCTTTTCAAACAGCTCTTTCTTCATTACTCTTCCTCTATTTGATTGTGAAACTGTTTCCTTACCACTTGTAGCAGGTTAGAAGTACACATATGCTTCCCCTCATTGAACCGCAGCCTCTCACCAGTAAATATTTTTTCCTTTTACCAGCTGGAAGCTCTTGAGGCAGTTTTTGCCCAAACACACTATCCAGATGTCTTCACCAGAGAAGAGCTTGCCATGAAAATAAACCTCACAGAAGCTCGAGTGCAGGTAAACATTCTTTTTAATTATTTAACCCTCTAATATTAAAATTGGCAAACTTTTTTTTTTTACATCATGACTGCAGAGTGCACATTTGGCCAAAGAAAGCAAATGAAGACTATCTGTCATTTTCGTGATGCACTTTAATAACATCAACATAATGTGGAATATTAGATTAGGTTGATTAATCGGTCATTCATAATTAACTAGTGATAATGTTCTACACTAATTTGTCCGCGTCTCTAAGGTACTAAATTACATCAATGCACATCCATTTCCTTGCTTTGGAAAAAAAAAAAAAGAAAAAGAGCTGAGATGCTATTCTCAAAGCAGCTCTGACGGCTCTGGGGTGAGGCTGGTCAATGCAAAGAACAAGGTTTTCAGAGACAAGCGGGGCAGGAGATCTTTTCCACAAATTGCATCATGGCCAACTTTTCCTCAGTATGTGGACAATTTCAGTGAAGTGGATCCGAGGAACACATGGAATTTAAAAATTGTTAGACAGTGAAAGAGCAAGGGCAGACCCTCTAGACAAGCCTGGCCCAAGCCCTCTGGAAATAGGATTTTTTTTTTTTTTTAAGCTTCATGGTGATTATGTTGAAGTGCACAAACTCATTGAGCCCAGCAGATGTGCCCAAGCTTGGGAGAGACCAATTCACAGCCCAGCCTCTCTAGGCAAGCTATTCTTTGAGCACAATTTTATGTTCATTTTATTTATGGGGTTTCCTCCATGCTGTTTCTGGTTGTTTTGTTTTTTTAATGTAGGGGCTTGGGGTTAAGACTATGCAAACATCTAATTGTAGGAAATATAATAGTTTGCTTTCAGCTCCCCTGGGTCATGTTAGTATCTCTTAAAAACCAATGGCTGAAGAGAGATAATGGAATTCTGAGCAGTAAATTGGGGGTTGTAAACAAATTATTTCCCCTATAATCAGATTATGTGATCCTGATTATTAAATCTGAACATGAATCATTGGTCATAGGCAGGCAAATTAAACTGATTATTATTTGGAAATGAAAATCTCCTTCGGCCAGGACCACATCCATCCTTTCTTTTTTTAATGCCAGGCTTGCCAATAGCTGCCTAAGACTGAACTGCAAATTGAGATAAATGACATAATTATTGAGCAGCCAGAAGTGGGAGATCATAACTTCTTCCTGAAAGGTGCAAGGGTGAGATAGGGGTGGTGACAATTAAAGCAGGGAATTGTTGTTCAGGCCGTGGTTGGCTATTATGGAAACAGACAATGGTTGTGAAGCATTTATTTAGTGATTTTCCGTGTGGGAAAATAGGATTCGGTGGCGGGAAAGGAGATATGTTTACATTTATATCCTTGCTCATTCAAATATGATTAATGTTCTATAGAGCAGGGTCTTAATCGAAGCTGATGTTGTCAAACAATAACTAAATAGGGAAATAAACGACTCCATCATACTCCTTCCTTGGAAGCAGGCAAACTGTCAGTGCAAAGTCATTAGAATATGATAATGAAAAATAGCTCAATTAAATGTTGTTATAGCTGTGACCTTCATTCAATTAAGACGCAAGAAAGTGTCTGCATTTTGCTTTGCATTTAACTGCCCTAAATTTAGAATATAGATAAAATCATTATTCAGCGATGTGCAATTAAAAGCCAACTAAATTAAAAAGGAAAGAGACCCAGTTATGGAACAAGAATGGAAAGATGGGGTGGGGCTCTTCACCAGGGCTAGACTATGCTTTGGGGAGTAGGAGGGACGTTCAGGGATCCTGCCTCTGGAGTAGAGGGGAGAGGTTTCCAGTGGATGGAGTAGGAAGAAACAGCAGGGTTCACTGATCTTTAGGAATAATGAGGGACAGGGCTTCCTGGCATCTATACATGAAGCTGGCTGCCCTTCTGCAAAGGCAGTTTTTGTTTTCTGAGGCTTAAAGAATTCATACCAGCATCTAAGAAGGTGCTACAGCCAGGTGAATCCTAAGCTGTCTTCTAACCTGTGGGTGGGGAAGATGGACCATAACATCAGCTAATGTCTGTTGAGTAATTGATTGCTGAGAGCTGTGCGAAGCACTTTGCAGCATTTTTCTAATGTTCAAGGGTGACTGCTACTTTACATCCATAAGTGAACTCTGGTGACATAGTAGAAGAAGCTGTGCTGCAGTCCCAGAGTCCACAAGCTACTTCGTGGAAGAAGGTTGGGCACTTTCTTTCCGCATGATCAAACTGCCTCTGAAAACCTGCTGGAGGGTCAGCTATGAGTCAGTCAGTCAGTTCTGACTTTATGGTACACAACAACAACAACAAATGATTTGGATCACGGATCCTAATGGGGACTCTGGGCTTCAAATCTTGGAGCTGCCACTGACCATCTGATGATCTCAGGCAGATGTGTTAATCTCTCTGTGCTTTATTTCCCCACCTGTGCAATGAGAGTAATAGAACCACTAACCTTATAGAGTTGTGGTGAATTGAGTTTGGAATTCTAGAGCCCATGCTTCTAGTAGATAATTATGTGTAATTGGATGATTTAATGATTAAACAACAAAGGATGAGGCTTGGCACACCATAAGAGAGTGCTCTGATGAAGCTTACTGAGAAATGATGACCATTTTTAATGAAGACCTCTCATTGCCACCGGGCCAACTTTGACTCCCCATAACCCTGGAGAGCAGAGCAGCACTGCCCATGGCTTTCCTGGACTGTAACTCTCTTTCCTTTTTTTTTTTAAATTGTGATTTAAGTTAAACTTTACAGAACAAATTGATTTTTCCATTTAACCTTCATACACATTTTGTTTTATAGCATTAATGGTAAAATCCACAATAAAAATACCCTCTTCCAATTTCCTTCCTGTGAGTTTTACTTCCATTCATCCTTTTCATCCTACCGCTTCCTGCCTTCTGAGCTTCATTTTTGGACAAATGCTGCCCTTTTGAGCTTATGTGATTGATTATTCTAAGAAGCACCACCCTAGTCTTATTGTTTACATATAGGCCCTGCCTCTGTCAGATCAGCACGTCCTGTGCATTAAATCCTGACAGGAATGGATTGCCTCATCGTTCTCTTGCAGAATGCTGGTGGATTTGAACTGCCAGCCTTTTGGTTAGCAGTCCAATGCCTACTCCACTAGGTTCCTGTATAAGCTCTAAGGTGGCGTTTTTCAAACTGGCTAGGCCATGACCTCTATACCATTGAGTCAAAATGGACCCATGGCTGACCCTTCATCATATTTTCAGAGGCCATAAATCATACAGGAGGAGATTGCTTTTCTTTTTCCCTTGGAGTTACTGGTGGGATTGAACTGTGTACATTTGGGTTGGCAGTGCAACTCCTTACAACTAGAACATCAGAGTTCCTTATGCTCATCAGCAGCTCCTAAGGGAAAAGTAAAGAACTTTAACTTTAGAAACCTGATGGAAGATCACTGTGAGTCAGAATAAACCCCATAGCTAGGAGTTTGTTTATTTTATGGTTTAATGGCATGAAGGAAGCCTGGTGTCAGTGTGATTAAGTACTCAGCTGCTAATTAAAAGGCCTGACTAACCAAACAGTTAGTGGTCCTGTCTGGCCAGCCACTGTGGAAGAAAGACATGGCAGGGTACTTGCATACAGGTTATAGGCTGGGAACCTAGGGGCAGGTCCACCTGTCTTGGAGGGCTACCATGAATCAGAACTGACCTGGCATCAACCAGCTTAGTGTTTTATAGTTTAGTGAAAAGTCAGCATAGAAAGTCTCTGCAGGATGGACCACTTTTGGCAAGGTACTGCTAACCAAAAGGTGGGCCCAGGGAGAAAGTTAGCATCTCCTCCTGTAAAGATTTACAAACTTGGACTATAGAGAGTTAAACATTGGTATCAACTCAACTGCAGTGATTGATGGTCAATGTACTGGATGCTTTCTGTTATTTGATTGAAAAAAAAAATCCCCCAAACCAAACACAGTTAAACACCTGCTGCAGTTATCTGAATGGACCTTCTCTATGGGTTCAGCCATCTGGATGGACCTTCTCCATGGGTCTCTTTTCCTGGATGAACCTTCTCCATGGGTCCAGTCAGCTGAATGAACCTTTACCACGGGCCCAGTTATCTGGATGGACCTTCTCCACGGATCCAGTTGTCATCTGGATGGACCACCTCTATGGGCCCAGTCATCTGGATTAATCTTATCTATTGGCTCCACAGTCAACACTCTCAGCACCAGTAGCTAGGTAATTAAAAGATGCATTGCCATGGGAAAGTCTGCTGTTAGGGACCTCTCCAAAGTACTGAAGAGCAATGGTGTCTCTCTGGAGACTAAGGTGCATCTGATACAGGCCATGGTCTTCGCAATCACCTGTTATGCATCAGAGAGTTGGACAATGACCAAAGAGGATAGAAGGAGAATTGATGCCTTTGAGCTGTGGTGCTGGAGAAGAGTATTGAGGGTACCATGGACTGCTAGGAAAACAAACAGATTCATCCTGGAAAGGGTCAAACTGGGTGGCTCCTTGGAGGCAAGGATCCTGAGGCTCCGTCTAAAATAATTTGGACATGTTGTAAGGAGGGATCGGTCCTTGGAGAAGGACATCATACTTGGTAGGGTGGAGGGACAGCACAGGAGGGGAAGACCCTCTATGAGGTGGATTGATTCAGTGACTGGGGTAATTGGGATGGGTGTATTGGAGATGGTGCGATTGGCAGAGGACAGAGCAGTTAGTTTAGGGCTGTTGTACATAGGGTCGCTATGAGTCGCAAGTGACTTGACGGCACATAAGAACAACGACGACATTGTTCCAGTCATCAGGATGAATCTTCTTCAGGGATCCAATCATCTGAATGAACCTTCTCCATAGGTCCAGTCATCTGAATGTAGCTTCTCCTTGGGTGCAGTCATCTGAATAGACCTTCTCCATGGGTGCAGTCATCTGAATGGATCTTTTCCATGGGTCCAATCATCTGGATGGACCTTCTCCATGGAGCAGACACTGTGGTCCTGAGCTGCTTTGGGTGTGAGGTTCTGCACACTATGTAATTGGCTAGAGGGCCAGGACTTTTATTTTGGGCTGCAGCTTCATCCTGCCTGATTTGCTGCCTCTATTTGATTTGTGTTTCCACTGTGTTCAGGTTTGGTTCCAGAACAGAAGGGCCAAGTGGAGGAAAACAGAGCGAGGTGCCTCAGATCAGGAGCCTGGCGCCAAGGAGCCCATGGCAGAAGTGACACCCCCATCAGTGAGGAACATCAACTCCCCGTCCCCCGGGGATCAGGCCCGGAGCAAGAAGGACACCCTAGAGACCCAGCAAAGGTGAGGCTGGCTGAGGGAGGTGATGGACAGGGACAGTGTTGTCATCTGGGATTCACTGTGGTTTTCTGTCCTTGACAGCCTGGGGAGATCGGTGGGTCCCACAGGACCGTTCTTCCCCTCTTGCTTGCCAGGGACCCTTCTGAACTCTGCCACCTATGCCCAGGCCCTGTCACATGTTGCCTCCTTAAAAGGTAAGCTGTGAGAGGACTGGGTAGGCTGACCAGGTCCATGGGGATGGTGGAAAGGCTGACCGGGTCCATGGGGATGGTGGAAATGGCATCTGCCTGTCCTGCTTTCTGGGTTGCGTTCTAATGCTGTGTCCAGTGCAGCCTCTCTTTCTGCTGTAGATCCCAGCTAGGTCAAAGCTGACGTCAGCTCTATAAGTGAGGCTAGATTTGATTTTCCACAGCCTGGTGTGTGTGCGTGTGACTGGAGAGCATGCGTCCACTCCTCTGAGAGGCCACTGTCCTTGCTTGCAGTCCTGCCCCTGAGTAGTGTTAAGCAGCAGTTCCCGGCGAGCCCAGGAGGCCAGTTGTCCCTGTTCACATGCCATCTCCACATCCCATGCCATTTCCACAAGTTCGCTTGCCCCGTTTGCCCTCCACAGGACTTCTGAGTCTGGAGTCTAGGCCATCAGGGTCGTGGTCTTCCCAGCGTTGCCACCTTCTTCACACCTGTTGTCTGAAGGATGGACCCATTTAGGGCCTTTTGTCAGACTCCTTGTAGATGCGTCATCTGGGTATTCCTAGAGATCCTTACTGGATGCTGGGCCCACCCCATCCACTGTCCTGTAACTTGGACAAGGTGGGGCCCCAGGTGGGTCTGAACAGTTGGCTGCTGGGGCTCATCCAGTCCAGGATCTGAGAGGCAGGATGCAGGGTGTAAGTGTTTCCTCAGATCAGAAGTTTCCTGTGATATGTTGTTAAGTGACATCAATTTGATTACAACTCATAGTGACTCTACGAACCGCAGATCTGAATCTGGCCCTATCCTGCACCATTCCCATATCAGTTCATCTTCTTGGGGGTCTTCCTCTCTTTCTCTGACTCTCCACTTTCCCCAGCTTAATGTCTTTCCCAAGGACTCTATTGATAATATTGTCTATGTCACACGCTCCTCTTGTGACAAGGTAACTGATATCCCATGGCATCTCCTGCTTCTCCTGTGGGAAGGTCTGGGGTGTCCTTGGTCTAGAATGGACAGCTCCAGCGGGTGGACACACAGGAATGTGGAACCCAGTAGTCTGCATGACTGATGCCATTTCTTGAGTCATAATGAGAGCCTGGTGAGTCACCAGTGACCAGGTATCTCCAGAATGACAGAGCATGGTGGGGGTTGGCGTGGCAGACAGAGCTCTGGATTTGAGCTCCTAAGGCTGGAGTCTGGGGGCTAGATGCTTTGTAGACTAAGTGGACAGCCTAGCTCAACTCTGTTGCAACTTAGACCTTGCAACTCAGCTGTTGAGCTCAGGTGCTCAGATAAGGCAGGTGCAGCCCCACAGAGCAGCCTCAGAATACATGATGGCAGGCAGTGTGGAGGTGCTTATAGTAGAAAGAGATGACCAGGAGCCTTGACCATCACTTGAGTGGCCAGTTTTGTGAAAGGAGCTGTATTGGCATCCCTCATTAGAATCGGCAGACAGGGGTTCTGAGAGTGGCTTTGTGTCTGTATTTCAGCCTCAAGAGTGCTCTGGATTTCTTAGCTGTAGGAATCTGGTCTGAAGTCTTATGTATGATTCCACCTGTGAGGCCAACCCAGCTCCAGGAAAGATAAGCCTGAGATTGGCTTGAACTGGAGGAGGGGCAGCCACATAACAATGAGCCCCCAAGCACGGCCACCTCTTGATCTGGGCTCTTCGACTTCTACCCCTTCTCTAAACTTCTCTGGCTGGTCTGTGAGCCCTGTGCCTGCCTCGCTGAGAATCAGACTCTGTTTCAATGCTGCCGTGGTCGTCCTCCACTTTGGGAGTGTGTGTGCCTGCAGAAGTTGCTGAGTCTCACATGCTTTCATTGTAGTGTGGGCACATATCTGTGCTGTGTGTGTCTGCTTCAGTGGTCAGGGAGACAAGACTTGTTTTAGAGCTGGTGACAACTGGCTGTTTCCAGATTATGTGGGTTGAGCAAGTGAGCTTGTATCACCCTCAAAGATAAAAAGGAATTCCTGCTTGTTTTTCATTATTGTGATCTGAGTAAAGCTTTATAAACAAAATAGTTTTCCATTCAATCATCCATCCACTCTTTGCTTAATAACATGAATTACAATACGCAGGATCTAACTGCACTCTTCTCATTTCTTCCTTGTGATTGTTGTTCCCATTAGTCATTCTATTCTACCCCTTCCTGCCTTTGAGCTTCTTCTATGAGCAAATGCTGCTTTTTTGCCTTTATACGGTTGGTTGTTCTGAGGAGTGATTGCCTTCTTGGTATTACTTACTGGCCACCTTATAGTGTGACTCTTGTTTGACTGGGAGTTAAGCAGTGGGAGTGAGTTTTGTTCCAGGGTTGAAGGTGACTAAGAACCATAGTCTTGTGAGGGGAGGAGGGTGACCCACTAGTCTTCAGAGCACTAAGTCTGGCCATTTTTATGTTTTTGAGTTTTGACTCAACATTTCCCCCTGCTATATCCAGACCTGTTCCATTTTACAGTAGCCAATGCTTATTTTCTGTGAAATGCACATCCCTCTTGGTCTATCTTTGCCTTTCTCATGCTTAGTGGGAGCACAATAAGAGACACACTATTCTAAGAAATAACCCTGTGAGGAGTGATGCTACTAGTTGGCCAGGGATCAAGTGGGGTCCCTGCCATGTGAAAGGAGGCGCTGTCCACCTTAAACATGCTGCACATCCCAGCAGCTGCCTGGCCTGGGGAGGGGAAAGCAGCTGGAAATCAGAATTTTCATGGCAAAAGTCCTTGTTTTTTAAATGTTGCCTCTAAGTTTTTAACCAAACAGGCAAGTATGGGCTCAGATGTGACTGTCCTGTACCTCCGTGAGCTCTCCTAGAACAGGACTGGGCTCAGCTTGCTCATTCTCAGCCTGCTTTCTCTTTTCTTTTGGGTGCCATCTGGCTTGGCCCTCCAGGCCAAGGGTGCGGACACCCTAACCCACGGCCTGGTGGGGTGGGGGAGTTGGCTCTGTAGTCTCTGGCTAATGAGGTAGTGTTGGAGGGGAGGGGAGTGAACAGCTGAATCTGCTTGATGTTCCCTGTGAGCTTGAATCTGCTCTCCCCAATCCACAGGCATTGGGTGAGCTTCATGTGTGAGCTGCTTTCCTCTTAAGGGCAGCTGGAAGCTCTGTGCTAGTGGTTGACATTGGCTGGGGCCTCATTACCCTCATTACGTTGTTCTAAAATTGATGTGACCTGTGTGGGCACTTTTCAGGGAAGTGCTCTGAGCTGGTATCTGTGAGGCTGTGTGGTAGGGAGCGGAGCCAGCTGGTCACAGCCAGGTTCCTTTAGATTGTGGAGTGGAACCGGCCAGGTAGACCCAGAGTGGCTTCTTCAGTATTCAGCCCTCTCTCTTTCCCCATGCTAAAGAAATTCAAGAACACAGTTTGACCTAGATTCCAGAGAGGGCTGATACCTATCTTCAAGAGAAAGAGATCCCTCCTTTCCCTACACTCAGGAGACAGCCACCTCTGTCCATATCTCTCTCTTGAGCCTGGACTCTGGTCTGCAGGGGCTACTGGCCTGCAAAGGGACAACCTCAGACTAGGAGTAGCATTACCATGATCAAGCCCATATTTTTTGATTGCCCATATTTTTCTCCCTTGAAGCACCAGCTTTTTTATTAGTGCTTCAACAGCCATTACTCACACATTTCTTCATTCCTGTGGGCCAGCATCTACTGGTGGAAGGGATAACATGGACCCACTCTTTTTCCTCAGCAAAAGAGGACAGTGATGAATCACTGGGGGAGGGTCTGGGCTTGCCAGGACTACCAGATTATGGACCATTGTCCATTGAGTCCATACCTCTTTCCCACCTGAGCATTCCAGCCCACTTGTCCTGGCCTGTGAACACTTGCACATGAAATGGAAGAAGCGAATAAAAAGGGATTTCAGTTCCCAGATCCAAAGCAGAGCTTCCAAAGCTTCTCCAGGAGTGCTAGTCCTAGAGGTGCTGAGCTTGAAGACAAGGGATGTCTTGGCTCAGCCTTAAAATACCATTAAGGTATCCCTCCCCTGTGACTCTAGGCCAGGGTCCTGAGAAGGGAGCAAAGGACTCAGCAAGACCAGTGGAAGGACCAGGGTCTCCAGTGATGGTCCCTGATCTAGGCCTGTGGTGGATAGTGTATTATACTTCAAGACACTAACTGGGGACTTCCACAGTGCTGCTCTTACTAACTTTGCTCCCAGCTTCTCTTGCTGATCAGTTCCACTCCACTTTAAAACATGTTGAAATGGCTGCTTTCTCTCAACTTTTCCCATTTCTCTGAACTGCATTACCTTTGAAAATTCTTCCTTATCATTGTTCTAATTTTTGACAAGAGCAGGATTTTTTCCCCCCTGTCTTCCTAGAATTTCCTCCTCAGAACACCCATTTTCTCCTGGGGGGCTTTCCCTGAGCGTCATGCTTTGCACTTGAAGATGCTTAGAGGATATACGATGCAGGCACAATGCCTGGGTGCAAGGCAAGCTTTATGAGTGAGCGGGTGTTTCAAGGAAAGGCAAATAAAAATGCTGAAGGACTGTACACCCCCACACCCCCCGCAGTAGAGGTGTCTGCATATCAATAAGGTGTGTCAGAGAAAAAGCCTTTGAATGACAAAACGTTTTCCTGCCTTGCCTTATTGGCCAGTCTTGTGTTCACAATTCATTGATGCAGAGGATGTTATTTATTAATGGGCAGGGAAGTGTTGTCTGCAGGGCGGACAGGTGTGGCTGGGAGGCCTGGGAACCATGGCAGCCAGGCTCTCTCTGGTGCACTTAGCTGGCTGTTTCTAATATGTGAATGGTGGGTCTGGGCGTGAAATGGAAATTTTACAGTGGAGAGGGGAGAGTTCATCCCATGAGCTCTGTCCCCCCCTCTGTGGGTTCTCTGGTCCTTGCACCCTGATGGGGTTTAATTCTGCTATGTGGCAGTCAGAATAAGGGGAGAAATAGCAGCAGAGTAGTGCTTCACTAGCCTGAATCTTCCTGTCTTATTGTCATCATTCAACCTGAGACTAACTGCTAAGGACCTGTCTCATCCCC